TGACCCTTCTGCTATATAGAAGAATGAAAATGCTCTGCAGATGTTTTCCTTGATCACCTCTCTGATGAGAAGGCTCCCTGGTTTAAGTCCCTAGTTAAACACATTTTATATCAGCCTGCTCAAAGCCACTGTAAGGTATGCAGTTCCCAAAGCAAATATTTTTGGGACCCCTGTCTATGTAAATACTTAGATTAAAAATAATACAAACTTTTGTGGATCCATATGAAGTCCATGAATGTAGATGAAGAGTTAGAACAATGAATCTTTTCATTTTCTTTGTTGCTAAATGTGTGTTTCCTGGCTGGTTTCATATTTTCCATCTGGAGAATAAGGCATCAATACTGATAATACCCATATGCACTGGCTTTTGCTTGTCTATGTTCCAACCATGAAGCAATCTCTGGGATTACAGCAATTGAAGAAAGCCTGGATGGCAGCAGGCATTTTTGGCCCTGTGTCCCCTCCTGGACAGCATGCCAGGCTATTCTATAGAAGTGGTTGTGCCTATCTTCTCTGAAGTCTTTTAAAGTTGTTGCTTTGCATTTCCAAAAAGTCCTCCTGATTGTCATCAACTGCTGTGTGAATGTAGTCTCCTGGGTTTGTCTTAAAGTGTGACATATGAGAATAGACTTCCTCTGTGCAAATGGGACTATTCTTCTCTTTCAGCATACAGGCCCTTGCCTATCCTTCCTGCTGATGGCAGTATACAGGAGACAGGTAACATTGTGCAGTCAACATAAAAAGAAAAGACATTTAGGGATCCAGTGATTAAACTCTGAGGCTAAAGTGTTCAAATCATGGATGGAAAATTTATTGATGTGTGTTTATGTAAAATAATCCTAAATGGTACTTTTAACATGACCAGAACATGAATTACCGTTTACATTTTCTTCCATGCTTGTGATGAATCCCACATATATGTCACCATCAAAAAAGTTATCTTATGGGTCTCCCCGGTGGTGCAGCGGTTGAGCGCTGGGTTCCGAAGCTGCCCGCAGCCTCTGCAGCGCTGGTTCGATCCCCGGGCACCGGGCAAGGGTCCCACATGGCACGCAGACCTCTCCTGCTGCCCTCTGCTCCCCTCAGCAGTGTACTTTGTCAGTCTGCCTGCTCTGCTCTCCCCTCTGGCTCTGGTGAATTCTCTCACCCTCCTGCGCTTCTGACTATACCCAGTGCTTGTATAAATAAATAAATAAATCTTTTAAAAAAAAGCATCTTAATAACTTCTCAGTGTCCTTAAAAACTAGTATTTGTGGGAGACTGACAAAGATTCTCTTATTAAACAAATTCTAATTAGGCTCTTCTAAACTCTGTTCTCAACTAGGTCATGACTTTTGGGTTCCCATACTTGTCTCTGCTTAAGCCCAAAAATCAGTGGCAGAGAATTAGAAGCCCAGAGTCCTATATCCAACATGAGTGGAAGTGATCCAGTTACTCCCAACCAGAGCCAGGAAGATGAGAACAGGGGATGAAATAGTCTTAATTCATAGACTTCAGCAAGTTCAGAGCACTGAAGGCTGCACAAAGCTGATACTTCCAACCAGACAGAGGAACAGCAAAGGCACAAAACAGTTTCAGTGAGGGGAGGTACATGAGAGGTGGGACAAAAGTTGAGGTTTCTCTCCACAAATGTCTGAAGACATTAAATTACTTTCCCCAGGTCATACAGATAGATGTGATTTAGAACATCATGCTAGCACCATTCTATTGGCACAACTTTTCATGATCATTTGAAAAAAAAATCACACCAACTAACAAGTGATAGGCTCTTCCGACCATCCTCCTGGAATAGGGACTTCTGTCTGGGTGATAGAATAACCTTTAACCATATGTACTGGAACTCCTCTGCTCATCTCTACATATGGGAACAGGAAGTAGAGGGCTTGAGAAGATGAAACAGAGGGATTGGGACACCCTACCCAGTCATCACTGTTTGATCTCAAGCGTGGAGGAAGATTTAGAAAATTAGATAGGGACTCTCAGGGACCAAGACCCAGAGTAACCAAGTCCGGGATTAGGGTTTTCTGCCTGTACTTCAGTCACCCAAAAGAGACTTCAACAGTTTTCAAAAAGATACTCTTAAAATATGGGCAGAAAAAGGGACTCTGCCTATCAGAGTCAGAATGTGTTACTGACCCTCGCCCAGAAATTTCATTTTTGACACAGTGACTAGTTCCAAATAAAGGATTTCTACCTTTCTCTCATACACATATTCACAAAAAGCAGGTTGGGTGTTGAGTGGGAGCTCATTGTACTCACTTCAGAGAAACGTGTAGCTTTTACTGTCCCAAAAGAAATGCACATTTAACAGAATATAGTCAAATCCTGTGAATGACCATGTAAATGCCCCAGTGACATGCTAGTCACTTCATAGGGGTAGGCAATAATGGTAATGATGGCAGTAGTAATAATTAAAGTTTATGAAAAACCTACTGTTCTCCAGAAACCATGTTAAGTGCTTTATGCATATTTTACCTTCAGGCCTACAATAACTCTACAAAGCACATATTATCTCCATTTGATGATATGATAAAACCAAGCCTCAGAGAACTGAGATAATTTATCCAAGATTACTTAGCTGATGAGTGGCAAAGTCAGGTTTACATAATTTTGTAGCCACAATTCTTTTTGTGGCGTCTTGTTGCCTTTGCTAGGTTGGTTCACAAGTGCCTTCTGAGATGTCAGAAAGAAAACCCTGCTTGGGGCACAGGCTCAGGATAGGAGGGTATCCCTCAGGTCCCAAGACTTCTCTCTCCCAGCCTGAGATCTGGCCAAAGTGCTTTGTCACTCTCTCTCTTCTTTCTGTGTGAATCTCTATCTGTCCTTCAAGGCTGTTGGCTCAAGTGAACCATTGGATTTATTTTTCCTAATTGCATTGGTATATCATTATTTCATTCCTCAGTGGGCTAAAATTAGGTCTCCTTTCTTTCTTTAACTAAACAAGCATGTGAAACCTTGTAGCAGATAACTTTATTGGCTGGCCTTTAAAGTACAGTTTTCACTGGAAACCTGGAGGCAGCAAAATTTCTTCCCTCATGAGGTTCTATGGAAGTTCAGACACTTGGATACTAGTTACTGTGTAAACTGGTCAGGTAACTGCCTCACTCTGGACCTGAGCTTCCTAATGGATAAAATGGAGGCAAGGATAGGGAATTTTAAGTGTATGAGATCTACTGACAAATTGCAGACCTCTTATCTTTCTCAAAATGATGTGCAGCATTGGCATCAAATTGAGCACCTGCATATCTCTGGTCTGATGTTATAGCAGTGTAGTATAAGAGAAGGGGCACGGACGTAGGAGTCACAAAACTATGATTCTGTATCCTGCCTTTCTGTATCTATCTGTATGACCTGGGAAAAGTAATTTAATATCTGCAGACATTTGTGGAGAGAAACCTCAACTTTTGTCCCACTTCTTGTATCCCTCCCCTCACTCAAACTGTTTCTGGGTCTTTGCTGATGCTCTGTCAGGTTGGAAACATCAGCTGTGTGCAGTCATCAGTGCTCTGAACTTGCTGAAGTCTATGAATTAGGAGTGCTCCATCCTCCATTCTCTCTTTCTTAGCTCTGAAGCTCTGGGTTCCTTGGATTCTCACTGCCACCAGGCTGTGCCTTTGTAAGCAGAATTTTAGGTTGCCTACAATAATTATGTTTGAGGTAGAAGAATGGTGAAGACTACCTTCTGGAACCCAATCATAAGGCCACAGAGAGCCTACTCTGATCATTCAGGCCATCATACTCTTTGGAGGGACTCCAGGGCATTTCTCTATGTTCTTTTCATAGGTTCAGGACAATGGTCCCCACACCCTAGGTCTGTCTGATGAAGTGGGACACCACCAGCATCCCACCTTACAGTTTCCAATTCACCTTCTTGGCCAGTCATCTGAGGTAGAGGTCTCCTCTTGGCTATGTACTTTGCCTTTCTAGCAACATTTGTTCATTTGCTTACTTAGCCACTCATTAATCAGATACTCATCCATTTATTTAAATAAACAGCCACTGGAATGATAGCACATTCCACAATCACAATCCCCAGCACTTTACATAGATAATTTCACTCACTATGGTTAGGAGTGTAGGCTCTGCAGTCAAAATGCATGGATTCAGATCCTGAAACTTCTTCTTATAGCTGTGCAACCTGAGTTTAAATCCTTAACCTTTCAGGATTTCGTTTTATATACTTATAATATAGGGACAAAAGTAATACCTGCAGCTTAACAGTTGCATAGGGAGTAAATGAGTTAGTATACACAAAAAAAATACTTAGAAAAAACATCTGATACATAGTAAATACTCAATAAAAATTACCCATTTTTCTCCTGATTGTTGTATATAGAAACTTTTAGTAAGAAATTTGGACAAATTTCCAAATTAAAATAACTGATAAATGGTAGTTTTAATTCAAAACCCTGTAGTCTTACATGTGATCAGTAATTTATGTAACTGAGGATATAGTGGGATAGGAAGGGTGCTGGAAAGAGCAATCTGAGATATGACAAAACAAAGTCAGATGATGTCTCTTATACTTAAGCATTTTTTTTAAAGATTTATTTATTTATTTATTTATTTATTTATTTATTTATTTATTTATTTATTTATTTATTTATACAAGCACAGGATACAGTCAGAAGCATGGGAAGGTGAGAGAATTCACCAGAGCCAGAACGGGGAGCAGAACAGGCAGACTGATGAAATACACTGCTGAGGGGAACAGTGGGCACGGCAGGAGAGGCCTGTGTGCCATGTGGGACCCTCGCTGGTGGCCAGGGATCAAACCAGCACTGCAGAGGCTGTGGACAGCTTCTCAGCCCAGCACTCAACCGCTGCACCAACAGGGAAGGCCCGATATCTCTTATTTTTAAAGGTTATTTCTGCCCTTACCTTCTAACTATACCCATGACTTTCTGAAACAATCCTTTTTAACCTTACATTTTCTAAAGGAATACTTTTCCAGCCAAGCCCCAGATTCCTCTCATCTTTGCTGCTATTCTTTGCCTTACCTGGAATACCAATTTCTGCCTGCTCCTGGTGGAAGCTGGAATGACCTCATACTGTCTTTCTTGCCTTAGCTCCAGTCACCTTCTTTCCCATGTCTTCAACCGTCAACTCTCTCTGAGACTTTACAGAGAGAAATGTCTAGTGCTGTTGCCAGTCTCACCTTCAGGCTTGTTGCTCTCAATCTCAGCCTAGAATCCTCTCTTTTTCTCTCTCCCCTCTCTCTTTCTCTCTCCCCTCTCTCTCTTCTCTCTCTCTCTCTCCCCCCATCTCTGTCAGTCTGCCTACAACTGCTCATCCTCTTCCTTTATGACCTAACCAAAGTGCCTGCCTCTCTGTGAAGTCTTCCAGGGCTCTGCAGGCTGAACGCTTCTCTCATAACATTTATCTTCAAATTGCCATTGTCTAGTTCTAGGTCCTTCTCAGCTTAGTCCTTGAGGTCAAGGACAACATTTCAATCATACCAGGTTTCCTAACACCCAGCAGCTCTAGGGGATCAACAGGTGAATATAGATTAGATAAGCTGAATGAGCTGACTCTTTGCACATGAGAGTGAACTATAACCAAAAGATAGTAAGGGCTAATATATATTAAACCCAAGGATAGAGCCAAGCTGCATTTAAAGACAATGCTGTGGATCTAGTCTGATTGCCTCTAGTCCATTCTCTTTCCCTCCCTCCCTCTTGTTTCCTTCTGTCCTTCCTCCCGCCTCACCTTCCTTCTAGAAATGTATGAAGGTCTATTTTGTGTTGGATACTGGCATACAGAAGAGTAAGCCCTGCTCCTTACCCCATATCATCCCTTCTTGAGGCTTCCTCAAGGATGGGCTCATGGGGTCACTGCTGCCCTCTTGGTTCCAGACCCTCTCTTTCTGTCTTTCTGCAGAGTTCTAACATAGCCCTGGTGTCCACTGAGTTCATCATCTGCCAACAAGATATTGACTTAAATCTTTTTTCTCATCTACTTTCCATGGGTGCCAGCACAGGGCAGATCGACAGTGTTCAGAGTGTTTTCATACCTTTGCCCTATGTCATGATCAGCCTTGCAGGTAGAAAAGATACAAGATGATATAATTTGCACCTTACAAATACAAAAACCAAGGCTCAGAGAACTCGTGAGACCCAGTCTCTGTTCACATATCCAGGCCTGCTAAAATGCACTTCACCATAGATCCATAGATGACATAGATTTTTTTTTTCACTAGCAGAATCATTTTCAGTAAGATTAAGGCTATTTTATACTTGAGAACCAGTTCAGTATGGGTTGGCAAAATCCATATGAAGATAAAATGGTGAGAGAGTTGCTGCTGAGAAAATGATATGTTTAAGGTTGTGTCCCAAAGAGCAGTAATTCTAGTAATTGCTAACATTTACATTTTTGTTTCTGTTTTTCTACTTTATTCCCCATGTCTTAGTATATAGAGATGGTTTGGACTGACATCCTGAGAAGAAGACCTGTGAGTTACTGTTTTCTTTTAATGTGTAAGACTTCTGGGTCAGACCTAAAGATGCCTTAGGACTCTTCATTCATTCATTATATCAAGTATATTCTTGAGTACTTGCTCCATGACAAACCTTGTCTGAGCACAGAGAATAGAAAAACCTTGGCACATTTCCCATCCTCATGGAGCTCACAGTCCAGAGACAGAGATAGACATAATTGCACCAAGTATAATTGATACAGAGAAGGCACAATAGTGGCACATTCAAAGCACAATTAATGTGTTACAGGGTAAAGAGGAAGGAGCCACTTTCACACAGCAGTATCAAGAAAGCCCTCCTAACTACAGCAGGCCTTGCAATGAATCTTGAAGAGATGTTTCCTGGATATTCAGGAGCAGGAAGGACATGGCAGGCAAAGGCAGCAGCAAATGCCTCAAAGCAACAGTTTGAATGTTTCAGGAATAACAGGCAATACATTCAACTGTTTCTCCTTAAATTAATGAATAGGTATGGGAAAAGATAAGGCTAGATGAGTATTGGGAGTTGGGGGTGGGCCTATATCACAGGCTAATTTAATGGCTTATCCTAAAGGCAACAGAAAATCACAGGAGGAAAGTGACGTACAGTTAGTGCCTAGCCCTGTTTATTAGGAATGTAGTGGGATGCACTCTCTTTTTCCCATAGCTTTCCAGGGCTCCCAACTGTATAAATCCAACCTGGAAGCTAGAGAGCAAAAGAGTCCTGTTTTATTTAGTCCTTTAAACCACATGCTCCAATCTGCAATTCTTAAAGTCCAACTACATTCCTACAAGAGAGCCTTCAGGGAAAGAGTAGAGCTGAGAAGGATAAGAGTGGCTCTGGAGAAGCAAACAGAAGCTATCCTGCACAGTCTCGTCTCTCTGCCTAGAACATTCTTTATCTTGATTTTTAAGTGACTTGTCATTTTTATCTTGGCTCAGATGTTACTTCATTTTTTAAAAAGATTTATTTTTATTTATGCATACAAGAACTTGGGTGTAGGCCATAGGTGCGAGAGGTGAGAGGATTCACTGGAGACAGAGTGAGGAGCAGAACAGGCAGATTTACTGAAATATACAGCTGAGGGGAACAGCAGGCGAGATAGGATAGGTCTGCTGTGCCATGTGGGTCAGGTTCCTGGCTAGTGATGGAACTCAGGCCACAGCAGTGATAGCCTAAGACTCAACCCCTAGGCCACTAGGGATGCCCTCAAATGTTACTTCTTTTCAAAAACCTTCCTGATTAGTCAATCAAAAGTAGCATAACCTCAGATGTCAACATCACTATTAAATCACAGTTTCATTTAAGTCATAATATTTATCACCTTTTGTACTTAATCTTTCTTCTCAAAATTATTTTTTCTCTTATGCTACTAGAATGTCAGCTTTGTGTGAGAAGGTGTCTTGTCTATTTTGTTCATTACTATATTTCCAGCACCTAACACGGAGTCCAGCGCAGAGTTGGCACTCGATAATTATTTGTTAAATAATCTTTCCCTTTCTTTCCATAAAAACTATACTTCTTCATAGCATTTAGCACATCTGACTTGTGTAGTAATCTTGAATAATATTGTTTCATTCCGTGTTGTTTGCTTACAACCTTGATGAGAAAAAAACGATCCCCCCAATGTTGAATCACTACACTATTCAAGGATCTGCTTTCTTTTGCAGTGGCAGTTTTTAAGAACATATTGGTGATGTTAAGGAGGACTTATTGAACTGTAGTTTTTTATATATCCTTCTTTGGAGAATTTCCTGAGGACAACAATATTATTTTATTCTTTTGAACCCCTAGCAACTGACAGAGGGCTTAACATAAAGTAGGAGATTACTAATTGTTTATTTTTTTTTTCACTAAAATAATAGTCTACCTTGAAACAGGGTGGTACTTTAACACTGCCTACAGGTTTCAAGGTGTTTTATTTTGAGCCCAAGAAATGATCTCATATCAATACCTAATTGTTTCCTACCTGTTTCTTGTCAACTCAGCTCCTGAAAGAATAAGCACCATGTCTCTTCTGAGGTCCTGCAGCACCTCCAATATTCTCAATTTAAGTTTGTTGATTTTCGCTTTAGACATATTTTTAATTAGCTTGCTCAACTGGATTCACAGTCCATAGTAACAAATAAGATGATAAATAGAGAAGACAAAGGGATAACGTAGCAGGTTGATTAATAGCCACATGAATGTTAGCTAGTAGTTCAACCACAAAAGAGGAAACAGAACTATCTTGATTTCAAGCTCCATGAGACAGTGTTCCTGCTGTCTTCCAAGTATCTATAAAATTGCCTAATTGTGGTGTAATACTATTAATGATAAAAAGTAAAAGCATAGAGCTTTTAGGTGGCAGCTACCTGATCTATACCTCAACTTTAGTTCCAGGTTCCATGCTCAACAAATATTTGTTGAATTAATGAATAACTAAAATAATGAATGAATTAAATGTTTTACTTCTCAATCTCTAGTTTCATCATAGGATAGTATTTCTACTTAAGAAGAAATGCAATTTACATTGTACTTGTAGCATTTGTTAAACTGAATATAACTGAATCTAAGTGGAACAAAATTAATAATACCCACCTCTCTTTAATGCTAGTGAATGTTACTGTGCATTCCTGTTGTGTTTAAATACAAATTCCATTAAAACTGTGTTTTTCCCTCGATTTTATGTCTCAATAATTAAAGCAGTTTCTTAACTCTAAGAAATGGCACCCACCTTTAAAAGCCCCAAGAAAGAGTACAAATATTTAGTCCTAGTGTTACATGATGGCAGTTTTCCCTTAGGCACAATCTCTTTGCATTTATAGCACTTGCCAGAATTGTGCCAGTCACATGGCTCTAAAAACTGCCAAAAAAAAAAAAAAGAGGACTAAACTTTCAGCCTAAAAATAAAAGGGGAAAAAATATCTGGATGCATGTCATATCACCCTGACAGTGCCTGCAGATTCTATTTTGATTTTACTGCATGCAGGTCGGTGAGCATATCCAAGAAGACCTTGTCTCCTGTAACTTGAGAATCTCCAGCAGTTGGGTTTTGTCAGATACTTTGCCAGTTGGCTCAGTTCCTGACCAATCATGTCTCTGGAACCTTGATAGTTGTTTTTAGATGACAAAATATCTCCTTTTGGAAATCTGTGCAAGTTGGAGGGCCACATTCTGTGTTGGCCTATCCTGGTAGTACAACTGTGGGTGCCCCATCTTAAGAGGATGTGTAGCTTTTCAGTGACAAGTCATCCTGAAAGGAGGAAAACATGGAAATGAAGATGAAAGAACCAAAGATGTTGAACCTGAAGAATTTGCCAGCTCTATGACCTTGGGCAATGCTACTTATCTGGGACATTCCTGGCCTTGGTCCCCTCATCTCAAATTTGTGCTTACAGTGTTGTTGTATCAAATAGAAAACATATGGAAAAATATCACATGAATTATAAACTTCTACCTAACTGTTATTCTTTATTATTATCTAATAGCTTGTTAGACCAAAAAATTCAATCAAAAGTTAGTATATTATAAAAATTGTCAGAGTAAGAAGACCTGAGTGCAAATTTTAGTTTTACCACTTGATAGCTGGTTAACCATGTACTCACTTCTTAGTTTCAACTTTCTAATCTATAGTACTAGAATTTATTAGTTCATTCTAGAAAGAGATATTCAGCGACAGTCTTGTGCATGGACCTGGTCTTACATGGAGATAGAAATGTAAGTGCCTATGTCTTGTGAAGGACAGAATAAGCAAACACAGACAATGTCATAATGTGTGTGTTAGCATTCTGTAGCGATGTGGCTCTAAGCCAGCCTGATGCATAGTTGCCTGTTTCTAAACAGAATTTGAAGCAACAATTAATAAAAGTGAACATTAAAACACAACCTTGCCAACACCCTTTCAACCACAATCTCAAATGTCCTTCACAATAGCTCTGAGAATAAAACATTATCAGTCTTACCCTCACATTCAATCTCTTCTCTATTCATTTTACACATTTATTGAGTATTATTATTATACAGTCAATACTATAATTTCTCTCCAACTGAAAATATAAACATTATTTCCCTAAATGCTTTAATTCACACACACACACACACACACACACACACACACACACACACACACACAAGTCTGAGAAGGTCCCTATTGGATGCCTCCTGTGCAGCTACATGGAGAGGAAAGCAATCCTCTCACCTTAAGATAAGAACACTGGGGTTTGGATTCCTACTCTGTCAGGACAGGGAGGATCTGTGGCTGGGTTTCAGAGCCTGGCACATAGCAGGTTCTTAATAAGTAGTATGAGGATAAATGAATGAATGTGTGACAGTATGAATGAGTGATACCACTTTACCTGAGCTATTTGTTTACCTGTAAAATAGAAATAAGTCCTGGATTCCAAAATGGTTGTGAGATTTACATGAATTATTACACTTAAATGTGTTCCTAATAAGTCAAGGAGATGTAGTGTATAGCATGGGTGCTATAATTGATATTATGTTATTGCAGATATGAAAGTTGCAAAAAAAAAGATGGTAAGTAGACTTAGACTTACTGGTGATGATCATCACAATGTATACAAACATCATTATGTTCCACACCTGAAACCAAAATAATGTGTCAGTTTTACTTAAAGAAGAAAAGTATGAGGAAATTTAATAAACAAAGTAAAGCATCAACAATGCTGTACCGAAGATGAAGGAATCTGAGTTATTGCTGTTAGATCACAATTGGAAATGTATTAAATTTATGGAAAATTGCATTAGACAATTTTATTTTGTGACTATTCTAAATTGGAGTGACAAAAGACCTTCATCCACATCTCAGAGAATTATATAAATAAAATCTGTATTGCTAATACAGTTATGACTTCTCAACAATTAAAAAGATAGTCCTATAAATGACAGACCAATAGACATGACTGACTGTGCCTGAGCTCCATCCTCCTCTTATCTAGTGCAGACAGCAATAGTTCTTACCTGGAGATTACCTGCTCTGATCTAGTTTGCTGGGGTATACTTTGGAACACTTTCTTTAGCCCGATTACTCTGATGGCTACGTTGAGAATAGAGTAGAGAGCTACAAATAATGAAACTAATTATGAGGCTCTTTCTGTTATATAGGCAAAATAGTGTTGATTTGAACCAGAATGGTTGTAGTGACTTGTTTACTGGATACATTTTTAAAGTAAATCCAATAGTATTTCTTAAAGACTGGGTGCTTAATAAAAGACAGAAAAGAGTCAAGGACAATTCAGGCATTTTGGTGTAGGCATTGATGGAGTTGCCATCAACGGAGGCTGGAAAAAAATATGCATGTGGAGTGGGTTTATGGAGGTAAGACCAGACATTTAGTGGGGGGCATGTTAAAATTGAGATGTTTATTAGAATCTAAATGAAAATATTGAGGAGGCAATTGGATATATGAGTCTGGAGAAAGAGAGGAAGGTTTAAGCTAGAGATACAAGTTGGATCTTGACTGCCACGGGAAGGTCAAATGAGATAAAGAGAGTCATTGTCATTGACAATCAAGAAATAACACTTGATTTGATTTCAGAGCCATTTCTATGACGTGATAGGGAAAGAAGTCAAATAGCAACATGTTAAGGGATAAACTAGCATCAGAGAAATAGCAAGAGTAAATATATATTAATCTTTTGAAGTATTTTTGTAATGGAAGGAAAGGGCAAAGAAGGGAGGAGTTGAAGGAACATAGTTGATGCTTTAATTTGGCTATTATTTTGGTGCATTGACCATTTCACACCTCTTAACATGCTTTTCTCCATTAACTTCCATAAAATCTGTCCCCAACGGTTCCTTGTTTATTTCTTCTCCCTTTGCCTATTCCTTAAAAGTTCTTTTTGAAATATTCTTCTCTTTGGACTTTATTCACTCACCTGGCAGAGAAAGCTATAAAAATCTAGCCTGGTATTCAAGACTCTCCAAGACCTGGCACTGGAATATTAGTGTAAGTTTCTTCCTTGCACATTTTCTCTCCCATACAAACTAAAGCTACTACTCTGGATTGTTTGACAGCCCTGGAACTTTTCACTTCATGCTTCTATACTGTTTAGGTATGTTCTTCACTTTCCCAGACGCTCCACCTGCTCTCTTTCTTTGTGTATGGAAATCTCTCTTCTTGTTCAGGACTTCACAAATGTCATTGCTTCCAAGCAGCTTCAAACTCTTATTCCTTACCTGTAGAAATTAGAACAATTCTGTGTTTTTCTTATATTAATCATTACTTTCAACTTGTCCAAAATGATAATTTTGTAGAAATGATATAAAAATTCAAGATGTTGTGTGATCTCTTAGCAAAGAGGTTCAGAATTAATTTCTAAAGCCTTGAGATTCTGTATATTTCTTTCATATCAACTACCCTAAAGATGCCCCAATACTAACAGCATCTGTCTAACTTACTCATTATATCATTAAGCTCATTAATTCCTATACAATTGCTCTGTGGTCTTTGAAGAATCCCCCCCACACACACACTCACTCCACTTGCCTGAAGATAAAGAATCTGGATTTTAGTTCTCAGTTCATTGTGAGACATGAGTATGCACATCAGTCAAAACTTTATGCAAAATGAGGCACACAGGTTCTACTATAGAAGAGGGTAATACAATCATGTCCTTTGGAAACCAATGATTATGCAGATTATTAAAATGTCACCCACTCTAGAGATTCTCTGTGTTTCCATATCATTTTGTATATACTACTGTCATTGCACTTATATAGTATCATTCACTTTCTACCCCCATGAGGTTAGCATGAGGGTTGATTTAGTGTCATGTGTAGTATCATGGAATTTAGAATGAGGTAGATCTGGGTTCTGATTCTTGCTCTGCTATTTCTTAACCATGTGCTATACATGTACCAAATGAGATGATACATGTAAAACATCTGGCAGACTGATGGATACATATCCAGTTACTCAGTAAATATTTTTCAGTTTAATTTCTTTGAACTAGTCCAGTTCATACAACATTCTGTCTGCTTCTAATGCCATAAACTTTGTAGGGGTGGGAGGACAAAATTAGATCATTGATTTCGTTTTTATTAAGTGAAAAGGGTTGCAGTTTTAACCTGCTGTGAACTTCGGTAGTGAACTGATTGTCTGAAGGAGTGGCAAATTTTGTATTTAAGTAGAATAAATTGAATTGCAGCATAAACAGCAGTAGAAATTCCTTCATTGTAGTGTTTTTCAACACAAACCACTGTCTCTGCCAGTCATATGTATAGACATAGCAATGTTCTGAATTTATAGCTTTTATTAAAATGATTAATTTCACAAGTTAATTTATTGTATTCATCATAGAGCAAATTCAAATTAAAGAGTCTAATAGTTAGAGATATTAAAAACTGGTTTACTGAAAGGAGCCTATAATTTTGGTGCCACTTTCTTAGTAAGAGCCTGTAGTTGTTATTTTCTAGCAAGAAATCTAAAAGGGTTCTGCAGCACCATTTTTCCTGATGCATTATTTTTAGAAAATATAAATCAGTCTCTTCTTTCAGAAGTCAAATTCTCTAATATGGTGTCTGTCCTGTCAGCTCAGCAACACATAGTGGACAAGGTGAAGCTAGAGGTTGGAAAGGTCCATTTATGAATTCTGACCTTAGGCAAATTCCTTAATATCTTTGAACATATTTCTGATCTGCAAAATGGGAACAGTAAGACTTAGTTTTCAAAGTAATAGTGTCAAATGAATTGAACCAAATGAAATGCCTGGTGAGTATATGTAAATGTTCCTTTTAAATTGTCTACATTTATGGTCTTCAATAAAACAGCATTTTCTTACTTGCCAAGAGAGGATTTGTTCTTTTTCCCTGTATACTTGTTCTTAAAAAATAGTTAACAAGATAAGAGATCAAATAAATATTTAAACTTGAGATCTTGTTTTTAATTGGTTTTAAATAAGAAAATCTCCTTATAGTTTTGACTATGTCATTTTTCCCACAATTACTGTTAATTTATATATATATATATATATATATATATATATATATAATATACTGTAGAACATTTGGAAAGTACATAAAGCATAAAGGAAAAACAACAATCACCCAAAGTCTCACAATGTAGACCACCACTGTTAACAGTGTGCCTCTGATCTTTCGTGTACATGTATGTGCCATGTGTTACAGGATTCTGTGTTTATTTTTCACTTTATAAAATTGAGATTGCAGAAATACTTTGAATTTTTATTATTTTTAAAGTTTTTTATCTAACCCAGCATCATGAGGATTTTATATTATTGCAGTTTTCAAAAATATTATTGTAATGCTAAGAAAGTATTTTATCATGTACATATTAATTATTTAAAATGATTCCATTATTTTTACCAATTTAAATTGTTTCTAGGTATTTGCTCTTGTACATAGCCTATCATCTCAGCAATGAACATTCTCACATAAGAATTTCGATGCAGTTATAATTGTTTCTTTAGGATAAATATTTAGCAGGGTAATTGCAGGGTCACAGAGTATGAACAACCATGTATTGTCAAATTGCCCTCCAGAAAAATGTTTTTATTAATATGTAGTCCCATTTAACAATGTTAAAAAACATTCTCTTCTCAACTCCTTGCCATGCTGGGTTTTATATAGTATTTTTAATAGCAACTACTTTGATTGAGAAATATGGTATTTTTTTTTTTTACATTTATTTAAGTAATAGTGGAGTTAGATACTTCTCCTTTTTTTGGTATTTTTATCCCTTTTTTAATGAATTGCATGCCCCAATCTTTTACCCATTTTTCTAGAAATATATTAATCTGTTTTCATTTTCACTTATAAGATCTTTACATATTAACAGTAATGCCAAGTTCGATCCATAACAAGGGGATAAAAAGCATTGGCTATCTGAAGTCCTTTGATATCTTCTAGTTCTAAATAGATGTTTCCAGTGGAGTTAAACTTTTCATTTCTGAAACATGACTTTGTGATGTATAATCAGTGTGATTCCCTTGACTTCATTAAAGGAAATGATGTCACTCAGAGTCAAAGTATTACCCAGACACCAACTGTTCTCCTTGTTCCCCAATCTTGGGTCAAGCTAACGTGAATATAAATTTATCATTTTTTATTCATTATTTCCTTTTCAGAATTTGACACATTCCTTCTCATCAATATTGAAAAAAACTTAAGGGGGGAATTCCTTTACACAATTCCCTTGAACACTTTCCCTTGGTAGACAAACTTTTTGAATTTTCTGTGGTTCCTCTTGTCATTTTACATTTCTCAATAATACTTCAACACAATTCCTGCAACTCCAGTGAAACTGATCTTCACAGGACAACAATGACTTTCTTATCACCAAGTCCATTGGTCTCATTTTTTATTTTTCAACTGCATTTGAGCTTGTTGACCACACTGTCCTTAATTCTTGAATTCTATGATAACACTTTCTCCTGTTTGTTATTATTTGGTAGCTTCTTTATCAGTTTTTTCCCCCTAAACATTGATGATCTTCAACTTGCTTGTTACCCAACATTTATCAGTCTTTTAATTCTGCTAGGAAAATTCATCTAGTCTATTAGCATCGATGACCAGCTATGTGTTGCTATCCAGTTGTCTGATTTTACATACAGAGAACCAGCTTATTTCCATCTGCTGTGCTCGTATCTCATCTTTGGTAAACTGTAGGCACCCTTTTAAAATTGACTTAACACCCCCCCTCAAACTGTTGTTCCTCAGTCTCTCCTATTTTGGAAGATGCAACACTTACCTAGTTATCTGAGCAGTAACTAAAGCATTATTCTTTATCCTGCTTTTTCCAGAATCCAGTTACTAAATTCTGTCAGTTGTAGCAACAGAGCTCTAGAACTTACTCATCTTACATAAAAAGAGACTTTATGCCTGTTGATTAGCAACTCAGTTTCTTCCTCTTACCAGTAGAATGGGAACCACCATTTACTCTCTGATTCTCAGAATCTGACTATTTCAGCTACCTCATACATATATGGAATCATGGGGTATTTGTCCTATTGTGACTACCTGATTTCACTTAGGACAATGTGAAGGTTCACTGCAGGATTTCTTCTTTGTTAAGGCTGAGTAGTATTTTCTTCTATGTATAGGGCATATTTTCTTTTCCATATCCTTGAACATTTAGGTTTATGTCTACATCTTGACAATGGTGAACAGTACTTTAATAAACATGGGAGTGCAAATATCTCTTAGAGATCCTTATTTTTTCTTTTGGATAAATACCCAGAAGTAGTATTGCTAAATTGTATGGTACTTTTATCTCTAATTTTTTTGAGGAATCTTCTTACTGTCTTCCATAGCAGATGCATTATTCTGTATTTCTAACAACAGTCTACAAGGATTTCAGTTTCTCCACATCCTGCCCTCTTACCATATTGTTGTGGACAATAGCCATACTGATAAGTGTGAGGTAATATCTCATTGACATTTTGATTTGCATCTCTGTAATGACTAATGATGTTGAACAATTTTTCACATATAATTGACCATTTACTTGTATGACTTCTTTCTGACGAAGAAACATCTATTCAAGTCTTAAGCACATTTTTAAGTTGGGTTATTAGTTGTTAATTTTTTTCACTATTGAGTTGCAGGAGTTCCTTGTGTATTTTTGGAGATAAATCCTTTATCAGATATATGGTTTGGAAATATGACCTCCCAATCACTTTGTTGACTGCTTCCTTTGCTGTTCAAAAGCATTTTAATTTGATGTAGTCCCACTTAGTTATTTTTTGTTATTATTCCCTGTATTTTCTGTGTCAGCCATGAAATCAGTGTCAAGAAGCTTTGCCCTATGATTTTTTTTTTTCTAAGGACTTTACTGGGTTTGCATCCTACATCAAAGCCTTTAATCCATTTTCAGCTGATTTTTGTTTTTGGTATATGGGTGCAGCTTCATTTTTGTATGTGGATATCCAGTTCTTTGTCAATGAATTGTATCTGAATTGTGTTTTTGGATGGAAGGAGGGCCCAAGGCTTTCTACTCTACCACCTTGCTGATATCACTCCTCAGTACCACACTCTTCATTACTATAGTTTTGTTTTATATATATATATATATATATATATATATATATATATACACACACACACAAAACCAGGCATTTACAAGATACAATTTTACTTTTCTTTATTTCCACCTAAGAATGAATTAATGGGTTATACAGTAAGCCTATTTTTAACTTTATAAAAATTTTGTCAAATTGTTTTCTAAAATGGTTGTACTGACTAATTTTTATAGTCCCACCAGCAATGTATGAAAGTTCCAGTTGTGCTATATCCTTGCTAGCACTTGTTATTATTAACATTTTTACTTTAAGCCTTTCTAGTGGGAATTAAGTTATATACAATGTGGTTTCTGTTTTCACTTCCTAGTGGCTAATGATGCTGAGCATTTTTCATGAGCTTATTATGTATTTTTTATGTTCTTTGGTTAAGTCTATTCAACTCATTCATTAATGAATTAAATAAGTTACTTATATTTTCTGAATAAAATGCTTTGTCAGATACAAGGTCTATGAATATTTTCTCTCTTCTGTGACTTGTATTTTCATTTTTCTGAGTGGTCTCTTCCAAAGAGCGGACATACTGAAAGCCTGCAGATAATTATGGAACTCCAAAGCCCTTGGATATTTTCTTATTTTCTGAGAAGCAGCCCGGACAAGTTGGTTAAACATCATTGTCAGGCTGACTGATATGTGCTAATTTTGCTTCTTAGAGTATGAGGTCCTTCCCACCAATAATGGTCTTGTTAGGTTCTTTAAAATGCTAGCTACCAAGACCCATCTTGATATCACCAGTTATTTTTTTAGAAGAACAAAGTGTACATGCTGTGGATTCCTGAACTTGTGTTGCAGAGTTAGGCTAACATTAAGGGGTCTCTTCAGAACCTTTTAGCAGCTATTTCTGTATCTGGTTGGTAGCACTGCTCTAAATGTTAATGTCTCCTCAAAGTACTTGAGACCAGACTTATTTACAAAATGGGTAGATTTTTTTGGTATCTTGGAATGAGGGTCTGTTTTCTAATTAGAATGAGTATTTAAAAAAATCACCCTTTTATGTGTTAAAATTGTCCAGACTTTGAGATTAGAAACCTGTTGATTGGGTGTGCTAAATACAGGAACTTGGAATAAAGGCAAACTTGAACTTGAACTCTCATTTAGTGTATGGGTGATCTTGAGAAAATCATCCATTCTCTGAATTTGTTTCCTTATCTGAGAATGGAGAAGATACTATTTACTTCACAAGGTAATTATGAGGAACAAATATGTAAATTGATAGGAGATGTATAAAGGTTCAACCAGTAGTTTTCTATTACTTTACTTCATTCATTTTTTTATACTTTTCTTTCCCTTCCAATCTGGACACCACCATGTCTGATCTATGGAAGCAACCATATTTTATCTGCTTAGATTGTCTTCATTTTAAGCCTAATGCTCCATATACACTTGATCTGTTTGATGGACATAGTTCTGGTTCTCCTTAGAAAGCATCTTGGCTTTAGAGAAAAGATGTGTAGAATTCGAACCCAATGATCTGTGCTTTATATCTCATTCCCACAATCTTCTGACTGTATAACTATAAGCAAGTTATTTAAACATTCTTAGTTTTATGACCCCATCTATAAAATGGAGACATTAGACCCTACTTTTCAGCATTATTTTTGGAAACTAAGTGAAGTGCATAGTAAGTGCCCAGTACATGAAGGGAACAAATAAATATTCTAATATTTCATATATCCAAACTCTGTAAAATAGGCCCTTTTCTGTGATTTCCAGAAAACACACTGAAATGTGTTATTTTCTGCATGTGTATTGCTGTTGAATGATTAAATGCCCAAATTATTACTATTTTTTTTCCTTTTGGTGCATTTTGACTTTTAAAGGTGCTTTTAAAAAGCACCTTATGCATTCAAAATGTGAAATACTTCCCTTTCAAATTTCTCAATACTCCTAAGTTACCCACTGACCACAAAAATGCCTTCAGTCCTTGTGAGCTCATAGTTTTCAAAAAACCACTAACAACCATACCTCTGGATCCAATCAGGTACCCATACTCTGATTATTTTTCACAACTAGCTGGTCTTTTGTGGAACTGTTCTGCAAACCATAGAATTAGAAGATGATTACCTTTGAGATATTCTAATTCAGCTGCTTTATTTCACAGAAAATAAAGCTCAGAAGAGAGATAGTTAATTCTCCTGGCTTCCTCATCATTGTTATTTTCATAAAATCTTGCTTCTACCCTTACTTTATTTACGATTCTCTTAACAACCCTGTGTGATAAACGATCATTATATACCTATGTGATACAAGTTTCAGAAGGATGATTTACCCGAGGTTGCATAGCTAATAGGTAACAGAAATAGTTTTAAACCCAGACCCTGTCTCCCTCTATGAAGATACTTCAGTCTGTTGCCATTCTAAAACCTACAAATTGCTCATAAAGCAGGGCCATGTTCAGAACTGGCACATATAACATGCTCATGTAGGTGAACTTAATCTTCTAATAGCATCTGGGGGCCAGTTGGGAAGGGCTCCCAGCCAGCCAGATACTGACAAAAAAAGTTCTGTTTTAGAATGGTTTTGCACCATTTTTAGAAATCTTGCTCTACCTAGTACATTTGACTTTCACCCTTCTGTTCTACATTCTGGTGATTATAGAGGAATTTTTAAGGCAATTAAGAATTGGAAGCCAGGTGAGGTAGTTTAATTAATTTTCTCCTATAGTAAATTTGTAGAATTAAGATACATATTTTACATTTTTGTTTTGTTTGTTGACTGATTAATTTGTCATAAATTCTTTGGAGTAGATTTTAAAAATACAGAGCTCATCATTGCCCCCAAGGTTCTTGACAGTCATGTCTTTCTTTTCAACTTCATCTCTAATAGTTCTGAAAGCAATTCAACTATATGGTTTTCTCTCAATGCCCAAAAGGCACCAAGTCCTTTCCCATTTTAGAGAAATCAAGAAGAACTGTCTCTTCTTGTAAAGTGAGAGTATGGAAAAGAGGAAACCAGGAGTGAGATTAATGTCCACACTTTTAGTGGAGCAGTAAACTTGACTTAGAGTTTACTGGCAACTAAGGTCAAGAGAGAGACAAAATCAGATTCATAGCTCCCACTATCCATTACCAGAACTCAATTAAATTCATTAGGAAAAACACATATTTTATTAACACTGAGACCAAGGAGAGGGGGGAAAGGATAGGTGATTTTTAAAGAATATAATTTTTAAAAATATTAGCATTTCTATGGAACTATAAAAGTAACCCAGTAGCTAAAATAATTCTGAATAAAAAAAGAAAAATGGAGGCATGATGTTACTGATTTTAAAATACATTGTGAGACATCAGTAATTAAAGCAATATAATATTGGATAAAAAGGTCAGTGGAACAGAGTCAAAAGCCCAGAAGTAGATCTATGCATATGCCAATACCTAATTTGTAACAAAGGAGCCATGTTGATACATGGAGGAAAGAGAGTTTCTTTAACAAATGGTGCTTGGAAAACTGGAGAACACATTTTAAAAAAATGAAGTTGGGTCACTCTTTAAATACAAAGCTTTATCTGGACCAGAGATTCAGATACAAGGCCCATAATGATAAAACACGTGGAAGAAAGCTTAGGTGATAAGTTCCATGACATTAATGATAGAGAATTATTTGGGCATTTGACTCCCATGACAAGGGAAATGAAAGTAACACAAACCATTAGGGCAAAGGTATACAATGAACTAATCTAACCTAACAGCAAAGGACAAGCAACCCAATTAATAATGGGCAGAGCAGATCTGAATAGACAGTTTTCCAAAGAAGATATGTAGAATGTCAACAGATGTATGAAAAATTGCTCATCATCATTTCTAATAAGGGAAATGCAAATCAAATCTACAATGAGATAGCATCCCCCACTTGTGCGAATAACATACACAAGAAAGAAT